AGATTTGTTGTCACATCTCTGGAGGTATTTCAGCATCTCAACTGCCTACCTTTGCAAATTAGAGCTCTAGTTTTAAAAGAAATTTACTGGAAAGCAAAGAAAAAGATACATATGCATGCTAATAATATGCTAATAATAATAATATAAAACATATCTAAATATTTTCATCAAACCACTCAAAATTTTCAGTGGACTAATTGGGAAATTTATTTTCAACAGAAAATACTTGAAAATAAATGTTCTCTTCTGTCTTTTAAAAATTTGAAGGCTATGAATTTTGAAAAGATTTCTTACCGTCAATTCACTAAAAATTATTGCCCCGTTTCAATTCTGTATAATTTCCCGAGCTATTGAGGGAGACTCTGATAAGGAAAATAATAAGTCATAATGATCAATATAATGGTGTCAACATATCATGCAACGAATCAAATGTACAAAAATTAATTTATTTATCTTGCCTTTCACTTGGCACTTAAGTAGAGGTGATGTTATTCTAGGAACATTTTGGTAAGGAATGTAGGAGTAATGACTCTTAGGAATCTGCAGGGATCATTGAACTTTAAGGGCAGGAAGCCACCTAATAGATATGCAATACATGCCAGTATAATTCTATTGCCTCTAGTAAAATAGACTGAATAAAAGTCACAAAAGCTGTCAGCTGCTGAAGGAACATAGTTGGCAAGACCAAGACAATTGACAATGTGTTTGGTCTTCACCCTTCTGATTTTTTTTAGACATTTCTCATTAAATGGGTTTACACAACTTGAGGTAAATTTATTTAAAGTTCTTATGAGATTTTTCCACTGAATAACACTCCAGAGAGGCTTCATGTGTTGTTCATTACATGAACACAAGTATTAAGGAGCATAGCTGGATATGGGTATATTCCCAAAGTAATTTCTGAGTTATTTCTTTCATATTTAATGGATTAATGTACCATTGAAGTTATCAGCAGTGATGACAATGACATTCTTGTACATTCCTCAAAAGATATGGAGTATCTCAGACAAGTGTTGCAGAAATAACTCATTTTTCAGCTCCCTGGCAGTTCTAGATAATGATTTCAGATCAATTCAAATTAATGGCAGCTCTTGGACTATTTTCAATGTTTAACATGCACACATATTGTTTTTCCAGACAGAGATATGCACAAACTTGATGTTTTCAGATGTCTTCTCCAAGTCTAGGAAGCTACTACATATATGTCCTGTTGTCTTTAACAGTTCAAGCAAGTGATGATCCTCATCACTCCACAAAAATAAAGTAATTGTTAATAAAGCCTATCTAACCTTAGTTAATTTGTTTCTATAAAAATAATAGCAAAAACCTTAAGTAAGGACTAATAATTTACCCCACTCCTAAGTCCCCAAAGTATCAGGCTCTACCCCTAATGCCCCTTTGCAAGAAAATGTGGTAAGCTAGGCACACCCAAAAGTTTACGTGAAAAAACTAATTCCAAAGAAAGATTTTTCAATAAAAAATGGAAATTACATTATTTCTCAAGTGATGAGTTGGATTTACACATACTTTGCATCTATAATGAATATACACACAACAGAATGACTGGAGTCCAAAAATGTCTCTACACCATCACTGTATTTTCCTGAATCTGATACTGGCAGCATGCTGAAGCACTCTCTCATAAATGTTAAAAAATGAGATGGTTTGCATCTGATAAGTGTTAGAAAAAGGATTAGCTTTCTTGGGGTGGTTGTATCAAATTGGGATTAACATTTTCCATTTAGCCCCTTCTGCTTCTGGAGAGGCTGACATGATTTAGTGACTTTGAAAGTAACACCTTTGTCATTTTCATTGTACTTCATTTCACCTTCTCATTTGTGTCTTTTTAAAATAAGATGTCTAACTGAATACAGTAATCAATGTGCCATCGATTTATATAATGCAATTGTAATCTTCTCTTTTCTATTCTCTAGTCCCTTCTTAACACAATTTAACATCTTATTTGCTTTTTTAATCACCACTGAACAAGTCTCTTCATTGAGCTGTCTACAGTAATGCCTGGATCCTTTTTTTCCTGAGAGGTTACAACTAATTCAGAAGACATCATTATGTATAAATACTTTAGACCGTTTCCACTAATGTGTTTTTAGGGGGGGTCTTATCTGTCTTGAGGCTTATCTGCTGCTCAGTTTTTCAACCAGATTTTTTTGCAGAATTTACGTAAAGCTCTTCATAGTTCCTTAATGTAAATGATGCAAATGAATTTACAATTTCAACTGCTTTATCACATTTAGTCTTTATCCTGTTTTCAAATTCAACATACAGAATGAGCAATACTTTTGCCAAAACTGTTTTGTGTAGTTAACTCTGTATTCATCATGCTGGAAACAAGAATTTTGTTGCTGTTCTGTTAGTCTATGATTATATAGCTGCAATATCAACAACCACTAAATAGGATAAACACCCAAGAAACACCTGAAATACACCTACTGTAAAACTGTAAACCTGAGGTACATAACAGTCCAGCCATAGTTATGTGTCACAGCATTGATTTATCCTTCTAAGCCAACCTTAATCATAGGACACTTGCCTCCTGTATTATGCCTGTTATGCCTGTATTCCTGTATTATCAAATTTTTAATAGTTAAGACTTCAGTAATTTACTGACTTATGCTTTCCTATAGAGATTTTTTGCTGATTTCCATGTGGATTAGTTTACAATTAGGTCACACATGTCAAAACTACAATGTAGTCACTAAAATTGTAGTGTCAGTACAGTATATATTGAAAGTAGTTTTTATATTTCTGGCAAGCAGTGCTTTGCCTTATTGTTTTCTTGCGAAGAACTGCTTTAACATCACTGGAAAATTTAAAATACTTGTCATATTTACAGAATTATGTTCCATGATGCCACTTCTTAAAATAAACAAAATAAAAATTAAAATAATACTGCAGGAGAGGGTTCTGATATCTGCCATTTTTCTGTGTTTGTCTAGAGCATATAGAGATAAGAGTTTTATTCCTCTTTGGTGCAA